TTTTGCACCAAGTTTTGACATTTATACAGTAGGACAGCTGAAGAAGTCTATTTTATTGCAGTTCTGGAATAATTCATTTTGTTTGAATAGTAAGTATGTACATGGGCTGCAAAGATCAAACATTTATTGATATTGCAGTTAAATGGTCTATGGGCAAATTTATTCATCATGGTCCTCAACGTATAATATTTATTAAGCAGCTGTGTGAGTCTTATAATAACTCTTATTTATTAATGAAAACTATTTGGCACCTGGTACAAATATATCATTTTGCTTATATTATTTATTCTTATACATTGCCCCAAGAATTATGTGGTTTTGTTTATGGAGTTACTTTTGGCAGCTGAAAGTCAAATGGGATAAATATAGAGATACTAACTTCAGATGCACTAACTTTCACTTTATAGTTAGAGAAAAATACTAGTTAAAAAATGTAGTTAAAAAAATATGATAAATACAATATAAATAAAAAATAAATATAAATAAATATAATAAATATATAGTTAAAAAACACTGAATACTGCTAGTTTATAGCTAAAACCATAAGTAATATTTCCACTGAATTATAACACAAAAATAAGTAAAACCATCAAGTTGTTTGAAGTTATGTATTTGAAAGTTATGGATATTTATAAAAGACAAAAAATATTATTATTTACATTCTGAATGTCTTGCTTGTTGAGGCTGTCATAGTTCAGACTGCTATAACTGAATGCCATAAGCTGTGGGGCTTATAAACAAGACATTTATTTCTCACAGTTCTGGAGTCTGGGAAGTCCAAGATCAAGGTGCCGGCAGATTCCTAATTGGTGAGGGCCTGATTCCTGGTTCACAGATGACTGTAACCTCACGTGGCGGGCATCTCTGTGATGTCTCTTTTATAGGGGTACTAATCCCACTCATGAGATTCTTGCCCTTATTACCTAATCACTTATCAAAGGCCCCACCTCCTAATTCCATCACATTAGGAATTAGAATTTTAATGTATAAATTTTTGGGAAACAGTTAATCTATAACAAGGCCTAGTAAAAAGTCTTATTTATTCTGTACCATATTAATTTTTATTAATGTGCAGTAATTCTTCATATTCTGTAATTTTCATATTTTTAAAAGGTTTTAGTTTCTACCTCCAAATTAGAATCTGTTTAATGATCCAAGTTATAATATTTAATCCAAATCGAAAATTTTAATTTTTATTTAACCACTTTAACTTGCGTTGTCTGTTAGTGAATATTCAGTGACTTCTTAAGATAAGATTTTATCAAAGGTTTTAAAATATACTAATGAAAGTTTAGAAAAAACTGATTAACATAATTGTTCAAATGGTGATTCTATGATTCCTACCTTTAAAAGTGAAAGATTGTTTAATTAAATCTTGCTGGGAACATTTGCAGTCAAGGTGCAAAGTTAGAACCAACAATAAAGTCCTCTGAACTTAACAATGAAATTTTAGTAGTTCAATCAGGAGTGAAATATTTTCCTCAATACTCTTATATAAGTGGCCTTCTCTTTGACTTAAGATTTTGTAATATAGGTATTTATTTTCATAGAGACTCCAAAATTGGAAAATTTTGCCCTCAAATCAGGAAATATTTATTTTCAACTAGCTTTTATATTTTAGCATTCCTCTTAATATTTTCTGATGATCATGTGGTTGCTTATTCATTGAATTTTCTCTGTATTGATTTCCTAATGAACTATGATAATATTTGTTTACTTTAGTTATCCTCCCTTTTATAAATAGCAGTGTATTTAAAATTATTTTTGAGGTTAAAGTTCTATGTATCTTTCACATTTTAACTGTTATGGGTCATTTCTACAAGAGTGTCACTTTAAAAAAGATATTTATGAAAAAAATTATTTTAAAAATGCAATTATGCTTGTCTAATAACACACTCTAGACATAACACCTGATGTTTAATCTCACATTGACACTATAGGCATAACGTTTTGCTCTCTCACCCCAACACAGGCATGGCTTTACAATGAGAAGCTACATTTACCTAATAGAGGACACAGTCCTCTCAACCTGCTTGCACATTTAGAAATTCCAACAAATCAGAGCCAAATCCCTAATCATCTCTGATTATCATATTCCTTTTTTTCATTGTTTAGGTTGGCAAATCACACTATTGTCCAAGGAGAAGGGCCTGTTAATCTCTGATGGGCTCAACTTTGAACTACAATAGATTCTTAGTGAGATGTGTTAGGTCCATATCTGCCAAAGGTGGTCCTGATTGACATCAGGACTTGTCAAGACAGGGTTTTTTGGTTATATGTTCACAGTGCCGAAGTCATACTTGAGCCTGGGAAATAAGCCCCCAAACTAGATTAAAAACTTTGTGCTCCCCAAGTTTCTTTTAAAACTGCTCTCTAAAGAATTCTGCACTATATTTCCCTTCTAAATATACAAATGCTTCAACCAGGCTCTTAGCAACAGATGGGTGTCCTTTAAGCCCAAGATTTTTTATTTTTTGTTTGTATGGGTTTTTTTTTTTCTTCTCCTTCTCCTTCTTTTACATTAAATGAAAGCTACTGATGATTTTCTTTGAACTGTCCATAGGAAAATAATGAGCTATAGTTCAACCTTGAAAAAATATGAGTCAGTGATAAACAAATAAAACAAAATACACACAAATAAGTAGGAAACTAAAAGAGCAGAAGTACCCAAGACAGGCAATGAGGTTGGTGAGAAAATTAATGGAAGTATTTTTGCTTTGGATGCCCTAACTCTGACCTTTGTTTATTGTCAGGATTCTGAGTCCTGACCAGGGTCACGAGTTTTTTGCCCAGGGGCTTGTGCCCAAGAGGTGGGGTAATCAAAACTTATCTTCTTAAAATGTTAAGCTAATGAATCGATAGATTCCTAGGGACATTTGTTTTTGTCTTCTTTCGCATTATAGTTTTATAACTAGATATGAAATATGTCAATACAAGCTTGACCTTTTACCTGTTTTAACATTATCACTCTTTAAAGACCTTCCACATCACAGCCTTCTCAAATTATTTAACAGTAAACTCAAATCATCAGAAACAGTAGCTTAGTGGCATTTGTTTTGATGAAATAGAGTTCCTCAGGACCTATGAAATCCATCTTATATCCTATTTCATCAAAGAGCTTTAGGTTTGGAATTGCTCCCCCCGCCCCCCAACTGGCCCCCTCCCCAACACACACACAAAGAGCTTTAGGTAAAATTAAAATCATAAAGGACTCTGTTAACCAGCAACAACTTTTTCTATACAAGTAATTTCTCCCAGTCCAATACTTTTTGTTCTTTCTGAACCAATGTGTAATTGTGTTATATAAATTCTCTAAGCTATCTACTCTCAATGACCACTTTATGGGCCAATCTTTGGACACTGTCTTAACTCTATTTGAATTTCTCTTTAATTTAGGATAATTCTGAGCCACATTTTTTTTTCTTTAAAGTAGGTAAATAAGAAAAAGCACATTGTAAAATAAGCCGAAGAAAAGTTATTATAAGGGCAATTTATGGAAATCTGCATACACAACATATTCGGTGGTTGGGGTGGTCATTAATTAATACTCCTTTTTTCACAAAGCTTCATAGTATAATTCCAAACTTAGGCTCTACATAGTTTGCATGGAATTTAATGAAATAAAGCATTCGGCCACATAGGTATTAATTATTTGTAAGAAAGATATAAATTAAATAAAATTGAAGAGCGATTTTAAAATAATTTACACTATTAAATATGGAACACTTTATAGACATCCCTAACATCTGAAGTCATGTCTAATTTTGACCTCTCCTTTGGAAAAATGACACATCTAATTCCAGAATGGATAAATCAAAGACATTTATTCAAACCTTAAACTGTCCTAGAGGATGTCAATTTCAGTTTTTTATCCAGGGAATCTTTAATGACCATACTGATTGCAAAGGTAACTGGGGAGTTTACACTGACTCTACATTGTCGAACCATAAACATTTTCATGTCTGCTTTGAGAATGTATATGAATTTTAGTTTGTCCAGAATGTTTTGAGTTATATTTTTCTTAAGTGATTAAACATTATACACAAAAAGAAAGAGTCCAAGTTGTGGTAAAAATTTAATTTGTACTTTTTTTCACTTGGCTACTGAGATTTTTATGATCTTCATAAAGTGTGGTAAGCATTGCAGCTGGACTAAGAAAAAAGCAAGAAATAAATCTGCTTAGGAGACCCTGATTTGTGGGGTTTTTTTGGTTTGTTTGTTTTTTTAATAGCAACAAGTTGATTTAAAAAAGAAAATTTTAATGTATCAGCTCAGAATATACTTATATATTGAGAGAAAACCACGGTTAATACCATTATCAACTTTATATGTATTTAAGCAAACTAATTTTAGGTATAATTGTATAATTATTTCAGAAATACTGTTTATTCAGCATATATAAGTTACAGAGACATATGGAAATAAATGTCTGAGGAATTTTTTAATAAACTAATTTAGTGTTTGAAAGGAAAATTGTAATGGAGATAGTAATAATGATAAATTGATTTTTTAAAAATAAATCTGCTCTTTAGGCCAACATTAATTTTCCTTTTCTTACATTTTTTAAATACCAAATTTAAAGCACAGTGCTTTTTAATTTCTCTACTTGGTCACAATATTACTCATAGATGTTTTTCAATTTCCAATGTAAGAAAAGTGATTTTTAAAAAATATATAGGTGGTACTTAAACATTAATAAATAGAGAGATTTTACATCTAATATTAAGAATTAGATGATGCTTTTTCAAATGGGTCTATATAAAGCCAACTTAAACCATTCTGTTTTATAAGCAGAGGAATTTCACAGTTGAGTCCACCATGTCAACTCACTCCTTTAGGTAGAGTGTGATAGTAATAATGATAAATTAAATTTTTCCCCACTCAATTATTATAAAAAAGTAGGTGACAGAAAACCTAGGTAATACAAATGCAAATGAACTCTCAGAAGTAATTGATAGGTTGAAATATTTTATTTAGTTTGTATTTCTTTTTACCAATAGCTCACAGTACTATGAATGACACAGATGTCCCTTTCGAAACAACTGAATGCATTAAAGCTCAAGGAGAAGGCTACCGGGGCACCATCAGTACCATTTGGAATGGAATTCCATGTCAGCGATGGGATTCCCAGTATCCTCACCAGCATGACATAACTCCTGAAAATTTCAAGTGCAAGTGAGTAAACTAGGAAAATATTACAAATTTCAGTATGCCCTGGGGGAAATGAAGCAGGGTGGTTATTTTTTAGTAATGTCTCTGATAGTGACCCTCAAACTTTATTGTGCCTAGGCAGATTGATTCATCTAGAGATTTTGATTTGTTAGGTCTGATATTTGGACCTCACATATGCATTTTAGCAAACATTCTAGGTGTCTCTGAATCAGATGGTTGATGTACCATGCTTTGGGAAACACATTCCTAGGTTTCAGATCACAGCTCTGCTCTTGCAGGTCTACTTAATAACCAAATAAATGGTAATAATAACCAGGCAGATTTCAAACTAGTGCCTTTTTAAATCTTCATATTAACTTTAGGGGAGATTACGTATTTTTTTCTCCTGTAAGTTGAGGCATACCTTGACTTCAGTTAACATTGTACACTGAGTTTTCAACCTTAAAACAAAATTATTTTACAAATTTAAATGAAAGTTTTCTATTGCTTAAGATTTGCTTTAAAAAAATGGAGAAGTAAAACAGTTGTTCAGATGAAACAAGCCAAAACTGCCCTTTAATATCAATAATGTAATCGTAGGTGCCTTCTCTGTGTCTGTGCTTTTTCACCACTTGACTTTGGTTGGACAGACACAGCCACAATGCCACGTGTTTTTAAATTGTCCACCTTGTTATGGGGAACATAAAATGATTGCTTTTGAAATTTATAACACACGTGTCATTCATAGTGGCTTTGCTGAAATAGCACCTATAAATAACATATATTGGCTTTATGTAATTGGCTTTTAATAAGAGAGCTTAACATTTCAAGATGGAGAACTATGAGCATTAGTTGGCCCATCCACTGGAGAGAGGAGATATATTATGCTTTGTTTTGTTCTTTAGTTAATTTAATTTATTTACTTAGTAAATATTCATCTGTTGCAGTTTTTTCATTATTTTGTAATAACAAATTTGTAGTTGTCATTATGGGTTTATTTCCCACCGTTCTCTTCATAGAAATTCAGTCTCTTTTCTTTACCCATGTGCTTTACACATGAGAAATAAATACCAAAGCAGAGAAAGCAAAGAAAATGAGAAAATATTATTTAAGAGCAACAAAGGAGACAGTGTCAATGCCATTCACACTTTTTCTTAACTTCTAATGACTGGCAATACATAAAAAGTCATGCATATGCAAATACCCAATGAGCTCAAATTGTAAGAAAAAGAGAGTAATTGTAGAAATTTAAATCACACATTTCCCAGTTAAAAATTATCAAAAGATTAGCTGTTATTTGTTGTCAGAATGCAGGCCATCCTTTCTAAATGTAGTCATTTGGTCAAGATAACCAAGCATAAATATCAAAAAGCAAAAAGTGAACTGTGTTATGAAACATAAAATCTGACTCAACATTTTGCTCAGAACATTGATGCATTTACTATTTGTGGTCCAGCAGAGAATAGTGTGCTGGTCAGGTGTCTCTGGTTGTGTTACATTAAACACTGCCTCGTACTAAGACTCCTTACAAATGACAATTTTTAAAACTATAACTCAACTCCACTGCCGGTGATGAATCTACATGAATCATTTAATCATTAATTTGTTTTAGTAATTGTAAACAATTATTTCTTCAAGTGAGAGGAAAGATCTAAGGAAAATTATCTGGGCAAACCTTGACTCTCATTCTTGCTTAATCTAGATTAATGAGGTGCTTTTAGATACAGATTTTTAAAGTGGGCCGAAACTAAGACTTTTGTTAGCCTTAGATTTCTGTTTAATTATCTTGCCTTAAATTAACAACTCAAAATAATTTAACTAAGCAATTATTCAACCAAAATTGCAAATTTATGTAAACTTTGTGTGTAATTAAATGCACATACTTTTGTACTGACATAAATTTTGAAACATAAACATAAATTGGTTAAAAGAAATAAAAGATTTTCTTTATCTTCCCAGTTAATAGTTTTATCATTTTATAAGAAGGCTTAATGGCTGGAGTATGGGTGGTAACTATGAAAACTTGCTATACTATGGCCTTAACTATTGGCAAACACTGTTTTGATAACCTTAAATAACAGTTTGTGTCAGGACCTATTTTGACTAGATAAACTATTATTTATTGATTTTATGACCAAACCCAACCTTCTTCCTTAAAAACATCTCGGTTTCTAATGGTCAATTTGGGTATTAATAAAATTATAGTACTTCTAATTGGACCACAGTCATATAAATAATATAGCTTCCAATACATTAAATATTAAATTTTTTAAGTTATTAGCCATGGATCCTAAGAAAAGAAAGCACATACTTGCTTAAAATTAGAGAGCGTTTTTCAGGAAAGCAAATCATAAATTCAACATTTCATTTAATGTGGACCTTCTAAGGTTCACATTAAAATCCCTTTACATACAGAGAATATTTATATACATGTTTTTCCTTACTGAGAACTCTAAATGTTTAATAAATCACTGGTAAACTAAAGGATATACAATTGACAACTTCTATAGTTAGGTTTTCTACATTATAATTAGACCTTCATTTTACAAAAATATTTATAAAGATTCAGGTAACTTCTACAAATCAAGACATTTTTACTTTATAATTAAATCTATGCAGCAAATTAAATAAATTAAGCAAATACCATATTCAAGAAAGAAATAGCTATCATCTTTTTTGTGGCAAATGTTTGAATAGGTGGAACTTTCATTTTAAATGAGAGTAATTAATAACTATTACTAATAGCCTTTCTTCTACAGATAGATACATGTTGTTTTCGTATTATGTATGGGCCATAAAACATAATAAATAACAGATCAGTTTTAAAAAATTGTAACAGTTGAGAGTCTAAGTCTTGAGAATGAGAAGAATGAAGGGGTATTATTTTTCTCTTTCATGAAACAGTAGTGTTTGTGTGGCACTCAGGGCATTGGAAAGAAAAGGATACTGACATCTGACAGCATTTAGTTCAGTAATGGGGGCAGTGTCAGTTGTATATATTGAATTCTAAATTATTATAACTACCCTAAATCAAAAACTTAGAATTCTATTTATAAGCGTGCATACATCCTGGGTCTTTAGAAATGCTAACTCCACCAATGTAAGAACTCGTGCAATTTACATTAACAAACTTTTTCTCAATAGGGACCTAAGAGAAAATTATTGCCGAAATCCAGATGGGGCTGAGTCACCCTGGTGTTTTACCACTGATCCAAACATCCGAGTTGGCTACTGCTCCCAAATTCCAAAATGTGACGTGTCAAGTGGACAAGGTAATAGTTGACATTTTACAGTGTGGGCATGATTAAATTCAGGAGAAATGCCTAAAGGGAGTTCACATTTTGCAGAAGACCTACTTCTCATTGTACTGGTTTCACTGGCTAGCAAAGTCATCAAGTCTAAAGTGGGATTTCTTTTTCATATTCATTTCTTCAACATTTATTTATTTATTTGAGTGTGTACCAGTGCCAGGCACAGTCCTAGGCACCGGAGATATAGCAGTAAAGAAAAAAAAATTCTCTGACCCCATGGAACTAATTTCTAGCAAACAGAAAACAAACAAAATAAAAAAGGAGGTGGGGATTGTAAGTTACAATAGTTTGTGGTAAGTGCTGGAAAGAAAAAATGTATCAGGAGAAAAGGGTGTTGCTATTTTATATTTTAATTGTTTGGGAAGGTCTCACATGTTAAGGTAACAATTAAGGAGGAACAGGGATAGTGAGGGAACAGCATGAGCCATGTGCAAATATTTATAAAGGGCATTCTCGGTAGAGAAAATCTGCAAATGCAAATGACATGAAATGGGAAAGTGCTTGAAAAGTTGAAAGGAAAGAAACAGCACATCTGTGTCTAGTACAGAATAAGCAAGATAGACAGTAGCAGGAAATGAGGTTACAGGGCAGTTGGGCTAAAATTGCATAGGTCTTGTAGAAATAGGAAGGATTTACACTTTTATTCTGAAAGAGAAGGAACTGTGTTGTACAATTCTAAGAAGAGAAATTAAATGATCTGTCTGACTTAAATTCTAAGTAGATGTTTCTGGCTGCATTATGGAAAACAGCCAGAACTTCTGACAAGGACCAAAATGGAAATCAATTGAGTGATTGCTTCAGTAGTTCAGGCAAGAGAGGAGAGTGATGTGGACTTGAGTGTCGGCAGTGGAGATGCTGTGAAGCAGTGTGGTTTAGAAACATAGATGCCACTGAAGGTAATTGTTTCAGGGAGCAGTGGTAGAGAAAAGTCAGATTGAAATAGGTTTAAAAAAGAAATCATTTGTCAAAGATTAATAATAATGTTGGCGGTCAGGCCTCTACACCATCTATGAAGGGGTCTCCCTAACAAAACATGAGTCCACCTGGACCCCTGAAACTAATAATAATAATAATAATAATAATAATTATTATTATTATTATTATGGTGATGATGTTGAGCTCTGGGCATTCATTGGTACACATGAATTGAGAGTTATGATTTTTAAATAATCATATTCTTTCACATGAATTTAATTATGATGGTCATGGTCTTGGTCAGTCCTGAATTATCCTAAAAAGTCTAAGCCAAATTTAAAGCTTCATTTCATAGATTTTTTTGCCCTATACATACTCTTCCATCCTTTAACTTTTTTCTCAGTGACATTTTGCATGAAAAACACTGAAAAAAATTGTAGAGAGAAGAAGGAATGAGTTGTTTTTTCAGTCAATTTCACTGTTCTCTGACAGATTTTAAAACTCAGTTGGAAATAAAGTTAAAACCAATGACTAGGGGAGGTTTGGCACCAACTGGATCTTCTTTGTCCCTCTGTTGTTTGCTTAAACAATTATTGATAATTTGTGAGTGATAGAGGCAAATGAGAACAATAGTTTATAAACTATTAAGATACTTTTATGGTAAGATTTCATTTTTTTTTATGGCAGAGTAATGTTCCATTGTATAAATGTACCACAATTTCTTTATCCAATTTTCTATTGATGGACATTTCAGTTGTTACAATATCTTGGCTATTGTGAATAGCGCTGCAATAAACATAGGGGTGCATATATTTTTTTGAGTTAGTGTTTTGGGTTTCTTTGAAATTGCTTGGTCATAAGGTAGTTCTATTTTTAATTTTGCAAGGAACCTCCATACTATTTTCCATAGTGGCTGTGCCAATTTGCAACCCCACCAACAGTGCATGAGGGTTCCCTTTCCTCCACATCCTCACCAACACTTGTTGTTTGTTGACTTATTGATGATAACAATTCTGACATGATTGAGGTGGTATCTCATGGTGGTTTTTATTTGCATTTCTCTGATGATCAGTGATGTTGAGCATCTTCATGTGTTTATTGGCCATCTCTATGTCCTTTTTAGAGAAATGTCTCTTCATGTCCTCTGCCCATTTTTTAGTTGGATTTTTGTTTTGTTTGTTTGTTTGTTTGTTTGTTGTTCAGTTGTATGAGTTTTTTTAATGAATTTTGGATAGTAACCCCTTACCAGAGGTATCATTGGCAAATATCTTCTCCCATTCAGTAGGATGTCTAGAGAATATTATGCTAGTGAAATAAGTCAGACTAAGAAAGACAATTTTCCATATGATCTTACTTATATGTAGAATCTGAAGAAAACAATAAACATGGAGATACAGGGGGTAAAAACTGGTGGTTGTTAGATGGGAGGAGGGTTGGGGGGTGGGGGAGAAGTTGAACAGACTAGAAAATACCAATTAGTAGTCACAAAATAGTCATGGGGATGTGAAATACAGTGTGGGGAATGTAATCAATAATGTCATGTGGATTATGTAGGGTGCCAGACGGGTACTGGACTTTTTGAAGGGATCACTTCATAAACTGTGTAGATGCCTGACCACTGTGCTGCTCACCTGAAGCTGATGTAGAATAATATTGACTATAATATTGAATGTCAACTATAAATAAATAAATAAATAAATAAATAAATAAATAAATGTATATATATATATATATATATATATATATATCATAGGATATAAAGTACAGCATAGGGAATATAGTCAATGGTATTTGTAAGAGCTTTAAACAATGTCAGAAGAATAGTCTGGGAGAGGGCTTATAACTTGTGAGGACTATAAATGTCTAAGCATTATGTTGTTTTGTAAACTTGAAACTAATGTAAAAAATTAAATTAATGCCTTTAAAACATATATCTTGAATTCTCAAAGCAATACGTTTGGAATCTTTAAATTGAATAAAGGTCCATTTGTAAAGCTTGAAGAAAAAAAGACACTTTATGTAATATATATAGATCACATATATAGATTATATGTAATATATCTAGATCTCCAAAGGATCAGGTAATAGAATATGAAAAACTTTGATTTTGGAAATTAAGCAGATGTTATTGTTTATCTAATAAGTACACACATTAATAGATGAAGACAGTTTCATGGAATTTAAATAGCTGGCCTAAATTCTCAAATTAACACAGCTGGGATTGAATCTAACTTTCCTTAAAATGACCTTCCCATTACTCCACATTTCCTCCCTTTCATTAATACTTTAACAATGTATTATTTTTCTTTAATAATATATTGTATCTTATACATGCAACAATGTGTAGGCGCTGTGGGGCAATTTAAAAATGAAGAAGTCCTATTGAAGAGACACTGTTAGCCAATTCAACATTCAGCTGTGAAATTTTAACATACAGTTATGCTATTGTATGATATTACCAAGCTAATGGTATGCATTGTTACATATGTGATATGTATGCACACAAACACACACACACACATGAAAATATGTTGCTCTTATCCTTCTCCATATAGTAGAAAATAAGTTTCACGTATAGACTGATGAGTTAGAAATATTTTCTCAAACCTTGAAGCATCTGAATTAGTATATATAAATGCTATTCTATTTAAATATTAAATAACTCTTAAAAAAACTAAAACTGCAGAATTTCTTTGAAAACACAGATAAAACACAATTAGATTATATAAGACACTTAAGACAGTAAACAGAAGACAATTCACAGCTTTAAATATTTACATCAATATCATAAATAATGAAGACAAGTCAATGAAATTTATAACTCCAAGAGTTGGTGAGAAATGTAAACCAAAAGCAACATAAGAAAGAAAAAAGAAACAATGATAAAAGCTAACATTAATAAGGCAAACAAAGAAAAAGAGAAGCACTAATGAATAAAGCAAAATAATGGTTCTTTGAAAAAATTAATAAAATAGACAGCACTTGCTGTCTCAAGAAAGGAACATGTATATAAAATATATTTAATTATTTTTTAAATTATAAAATATAATTATTTTAAATATGTAATATGTGTTACATATAATATGTAATTATGAAATATAATTATCAAGAGAGATAACCATTGAAACAAGAAAATTAGTAAAGAGTCTATTTTATTCAACCTCATGGAAAAAGCTTTGAAAATAAAAATGAAATGGCTTGAATTGCCCCTAGTAGAGAAAGAAGGTTTAGACTAATTTTTATAGACAAAATGTAGAAATTTATTAATTAATTATTCTTGCAAAAATATCATGCCTAGCTAAATTCACAGACTAGAAAATCTCAATGCTGAATAAATTGTCCTGTCGCTTAACAAATACAGTAACGCTTCCAAATTATTTTTATGATAGAATTATAATATTGATAACTAAACTTGATAAAGATAGCACAGAAGAAAACTATAGTCTTATCTCATTTGTGAATATTAATATACATATCCTAAATGAAATTTGGGTGAACAGTCCAATAAAGAAACCACCATTTACTTGATCGGGAAACAGAGGCATTTGTAATAAGGTATAAGAAAATAAAACAAAAATGTCTGATATCTCTTTTACTGTTTAACATTGTAAATATAAGTTATTGTGTTTCTCTTTAACATTCTATTGGAGATATTATTGTATACAATTAGATAAGAAAGCATATTTATTTGGGTAAAAAAGCAAAGACCTCTATTTATGCAAAGTATAATCTAGTAATGTACTTGAAAAACTGAATTCAAGTAATAAAAAATTTCACTAAGGTAGCAGGATATACAATTAATATACAAATATCAATGACATTATACATGAGTTTAAAGATCTAATTAAATAGAAATCTACATTTATAATAATAACGAAACTGATAGAAACTTAGGAATACACTTTTAAAGATATATGGAATAAAAACGTTAAATCATTCCCAAAAGCTGTACTTTCACATGTAGAAAAACATTCCTTGTCCTTAATATGAGCACCCAACATCATAAATACATAATTATGCCTAAGCTAATTATTTTAGTGTGATACTAATAAATAGATCAACAAGTCTTTTTCTGATACCAAACATTGATTCTAAAGTTCTCCTAGAAGAATAAATATGTAAGTATACTAAGAAAAGCATTCGGGAAAAAAAGAGTGATTAGAGGTAATTAACCATATCAGATACTAAAATATTTTGTAAGCAGTTTATAATTAAAAGTGTGATTCTATCACATGAATAAATGGACAATTGGAACAAAATACAGAGTCCAGAAACAGATTGCTTACTAAGATTTATTATATTAAGAATGTGGCACTACCTATCGCTGAATGAAACATGAACTTTTAAACTATAATAATGGATCAACAAGGTAGCCATTTGGAAACATGATAACATTAAATCCATGCCTTATACTGTAACTGAAAATAAACTCCAAATGGATAAGAGATGTGATTGTCAAAGAGGAAACTAAATAAATACTCGAACTACACTTGGAAGAATGCCTTTATAGTTTAGATGTGGTGAAATGTTTTCTAGTTAACACTCAAAATTTAGAGGCAAAAAAGAAAAAAATTATATAAACTACATCAAAAACCTACCATGGCAAAACAACAACAACAACAAAATGACCACATTTAAATTCGAAAGACAATGGTGATTTTTTAAATGTTTTTATTTTTCTAGCTGAGCCACCCTGCTACCTGTTGGCAGCCCAGCAGCAGCTCAGCTCGGGCTGGGAATCAAACCGCTGTTGCTCAGAGCTCAAACTCTTGAGCGAGCTCTTAACCAACTGAGCCACTTAGACAGCAGGACAATGGTGATTTTGAATAAAGTTTTAAATATCACAAATAAAGAAAAATATTTTAATATATAAAAACTGAAAAATAAAGGGCCCAAAAATTTAAATAATGGAAAATTACATGAACAAAAAGATTTCTTAGAAAATGGATATCAAAAGTCCCTTAAACACATGAAATTATGCTTAAATTCACATATAACAAGTGAAAAGTAAAATATAAGTATTGAGATTTCTCACAGTCTAAAACTTCCATTTCTCACATATACATCCCCAAAAATTCAAAAGCTAAACAACACCATCTTTTGGCAGAGCTGTATGGGAAAAGGAGCTCTCACACATTGCTCTTAGGAGTGCAAAATGGTAAACCATTACGGAACAAAGTTTTACAATAATAAAATAACATATGCATTCACCTTTTAGCTCAGTGATGCACTATTGACACCTGAAAATACAGCTCCAGTGTATGCAAAAACATATATATGTGGGGGTTTTTTTGCAGCATTTTCTCTAATAGCAACATAACCCAAACATACTCAGTCAATGAAATACTATGAGACTGCAAAAAAAATGTATGATAAAACTCTCCATGAACTCACATGGAGTGATTTTCAAGTATATTGTTAAGTTAAAAAAAAAAAAAGCAAGACACTAAAGTATATATTTGATATTTTATTAGTAATAAAGGGACTTACTAATAGTAATAAAGAATGGAATATAATAATGTATGAAAAATATATATACAAATATTGTATATTCATAGCATATATGTGTATATGTATACTTTTTCAGTACATATATATACACATATACACACATATGTAAGTATATATGTACTTTTTCACTATGTTAACTGGTTCCTGAACATATTATTAAATTATTTCTTTAAAAAAATTTTATTAGGATTTATACCTATTATAATCACAGAACATTTTTAAAACCAATGATAATATACTATGGTTTACAAAGTTTAATACAGAGACTGATCTCAATGTTGATGTACACTTGTAGATAACATTTTATAGTCAAATCCACAGGTTTTATTCATAAAATTAACATTAGGAATGTTTCACAGTCACTTTTTTACATATGTGGTATGATTTCAAAATATGAAATAGTGTTTCTTTTTAAATGTAGAACTGCAACTTATTTGGAAGAGCTTGACTTCTTTTTATGATTTTTAAAATTAAGAATATGGACACTTAGATCAATGTTAAATAGAATATAAATTGTTCAAATGGAAAAAAGTAAAAAATAAAGCCACATGGGACATGATGAAAGACACAGGAGCCAATTTAAAGTGGCTTCTATTGGCTAAATTTGGAACAATTTGAGCATCAAAATGAATAACAGGAATAGAATATTTGTCACATTTAATAAAAAATAATCCATGAGTCCATATTTATATTACTCCTTCTACTACTAATACTAGTAGTAGTAATACTACTACTACCGCTGCTACTTCTACTGATAGTGTTAATACCTAAATGGAAGGAGTAGGGGAGAAGGAAATGCTCTAATTAACAAGAATAACAACTAATAAGTATAGAGAATCAAAAAATAACTACTTTTAAACCAGCATAGTACTACTTCATGTAAAATTAATCAAAGTATGCCTAAGTCATTTTGTGAAAATTGTTTAGCAATAAGATGTTTTCTTTGTCTCAAAGGCCCCGCCTACTTCTTTTGTTGTTGTTACATACAAAGAGATGTGTTTCCTTTATACCATTTACCCAAGTTATCAAACTCATCACCAATAATGAAACAAACTGATAGCATATGTACCATGATGTATTGCTCTGAATAGGACAAAATATCACCTATGCAATATCCCGTATTTAACCTGATTTTTATTCCTGAGAAAATAAAAAGACAAAATGAAATTAAGGAGCATTTGCAAAACAGTTGGCTTTGGGTGACTAAGAATGTCTATATCGTGAAAGATAAAAATCAAAACAGAGCAAATGTGATGAGTACATGAGTGAGTATTCATTACATCATTCTTTCCTGTGGAGTAAAATTTTTCAGAAGAAAATGTTGGGAAGTATATGTCATTCTAAAAATTCTCATATCTTTGGTGTCTCTAAGAAATACTCATTTAATTTTTTCTTTTATTTTTAAAAAAATGTGTATTTGCTGCATAAATGTATGTTTTAATGAAAAAAATTGCTAAAAATAAAGATACTTTAATTTGAAATATTTAAATCTCTGATTTGTACAAATTTCAGAGTGCTTTAATTTTTATGTTGATTTTCATGAACGTATATGCTTATAAAAATGTTTTTGTTCTATACTCCCTAGTATTCACTAGTTTTATTTCCCATCTATTTATCTTTAGATTGTTATCGTGGGAATGGCAAAAATTATATGGGCAATTTATCCAAAACACGATCTGGACTCACATGTTCAATGTGGGACAAGAACATGGAAGACTTACACAGGTGTGTAAATATCTTTCTTTGAATATTTAGTGTGTAGTGATAACAGCAAATAGGTATATTCATGTACATTGCTATTTCTTTTCATTATTTATATATTATCATAAGCTATTGAAAACATTAGTTTGATGATTCGTGGAACCCAATATTTTCTGAGTAGTAAACTTTTAAATAAGTGAGTCAATCAGCACACATTTTTTGAGCACTTATTGTATGTTCTGCTTGGTAATAGGTGCCACGGGCAACAGTAACAAAAAGTGGGCATACATTTTGGTTTCATCTTTGAGGAAGATATGGTCATATTGAGAAAACAATTACATAACTTGATAAGACAGTATATAATTAAGTGGCACATCTCATGTTTCATATAGTGCATTATATTATTTCGTCTCATAATTAATTATTAATTCTTACTCATGGAAAATCAGTAAGTTACCATTTTCATATACATACACACCTTAATATCCAATTAAATACTAAAAACTTAGAGAGAGGTTTCCTTGTATAGCCTGATTTTGACATATAAAATTTTTCTATAATTAAAGGAATGTATATGTAATTGGAAAAAACAATCTACATATTTCAGAGAAGTAGAGATTTTGAAATTGAACATATTCACAGAAAAATAAGTTATCTTCCACTGAACCCTAGCAATAATGCTAATATGTTTGAAATTACAAAAGTATGAGACATAGTTGTGACATAAAACTGATATTTAATAAATATCCAAGAATATATGCACTAGAATAAAAGATTAAAAGGTTAACGTCTTTTGATCAAGTACATAATTGATTTACATGAGTTGTTATCTCATATGACCATCACAATGCTATATCGAAGATATTTCTATATGTGTGAATAAGAATTTTGGGACTCAGAGAAATTGAGTCATTTTACATCGAGTCCCACTTTAACTTAAAGCCTTTACTTTCTTCCACAATGTACTCAGTAGTGGATAATATTATTTCAATTAATATACTTTATAAACAGACAGTGATAGTTCTAAAGCAAAGCTCGCTGATGTAAATATGCAATTCACATATGTAAGCTGCACGTGTACTTTCAAGTTTTCTAATAGCCACATTTAAAAAAGTAAAAATCAACAGGCAAAATTATTTTTAATAATATGTTTTTAGTAATCCCACATATTTAAAGCTTTTTTAGTTTAATAGGTATTCAATATAAAAATTATTAATGAGATCTTTTACATTTTTTTCATATTAAAGCTTGAAAATCTGGTGTATATGAACAATTATAGCACCTCTCAATATAGCCACATACCAATTTCTCAGTAATCACATGTAGCTAGTAGCAATTGTGTTAGACACCATAGCTCTAAGACTTCAAAGATGAGCAGAATTCTGCACTCATTGATCTCACACTCTAGTATGGGATGCCAGAAAACCAGACATGCCAATATCATATTATAAATGCCAGGGAGAAATCACGTATTTTATGCTGTGGAAAAACCCAAGCCTTAGATGGCCAGGAAGACTTCCTGGAGGAAGAAGAGTTTGGCGCACATAATAAGCAGGGCTTGGTAAAACAAAAAGTAGGAGGAAGAGTGCGTCAGGCAGAATAGCTTGTGCAAAAGCCCAAAGATTAAAGTGTTTAAAAATCAGAAATGATATCGGTAAGGTGGAAACATAGTGTAATTTGGTCAATGTCCACAGAGGAGGAATTCTCCAAAGGCGATACTATATAAAGCCCTGTAAGCTGCAGTAAGAAGTTTCAATTTTAACCTAAGCAGTAAAGGGATTCATTAAAGAATTTTAAGCAAGAATTGGCATAATTAAAATTCAAGGATTTAAACACTGATATTTTTGAAATTATTTTTAGAAATATAGGGGGAAGGTCTAGCTTTTATGGACTTATACGAGACAATTGCACCAATGCTGCCTTCCGTGATGCCACATCGGAAGGTCGTCATTTTTATGGTGGAATTATTTACACAACGGAAATCAGCAAAGACAACAAATAAAGACTCCCCTCAAACGCACCTCAGAGTGCCAGTTAAACGTGTAGCAGCATACTACTATATGTGACATATTTGTTCAGGTGTTATAGTGGTTATAACAATTAATGCATTGAGTTTGATTTGGCTTTTGGAAATAATTTAAAGTCATCTGGAGAGAATTAGTCCAAAATTGATGACTTATTAAGTTGCATGGTACCATTTTGGTTCAAGAACAAACTACCCCTGAGTGAGGAGGTCGTACAGCATGGTGGTTTTGAACTCTGGAAAGAGCTGTGTTCAAACCCCTGAGCCACTGCTTATAAGCCATGTGACCTTAGACTAATCAGTTGTCCTCAAATATAAAATAGCATCATCTTAGAGCCTAAGTTTCCATATGCAAATCACATTTAATAGAATCTGGCACATGCTAAATACTATGTGTGCTTGTTGTTGTTATGTCTCCAGAAAATGAATCTGAGTTTGGAAAGTTAATCCCAGTTCCTATATCCAAACTCTTCTCAATTTTCTTTTTTTTAAAAAGATTTTATTGGGGAATCGGGAAAGGGGAAAAGACAAGTTTCTGTCCTTTTTTGTTCTTCAGTCTAGTTGTGGAGGACATCGCTTCACTGGCCCATGTTGGTATTATCATTGTGCTCTTCCCGGGTGAGGCAGATCAGTTGCCGGTCTGGCCACTCACGGTGGCTCTGGCAGTTCATGCTGGCTGCCAGCCATTCACGGTAGCTTATGGCAGCCCACTGCAGCTTCACTGCAGCCTATGCTGTTGCTGGCAACTCACGGCAGCCCAGCTCTAGGTCAAGCTGTTGTCCACCATCTTGGCTTTAGAGGGCACAGTGTCACTGGCCCTCATGTGGGATCCGAACCGAGGCATTGCTGCTCAGAGCTGACGTTCCAATCCAACTCTTAACCAATGTGCCACTTGGCCGGCCCTCTTCTTGATTTTTAAAATGACATATTAATTACATTCAAATATTGTAGTAATTAATACTCCTAAACAAATCCAGTTAGATGTAGTTTTCATGACTTAGGATGGCCATATGGAATTTGATTTCATTAATGTTATTGAGGTAAATATAAGTATTGATTTTATATGAGTAGCCATGGTCTTATAAAGTAACAAAATATTTTTGCTTTTCTTTGTAATAAATTTTGTTAAGGTGTAAAATAAGAAAGGCTAAAGCAGTATTACTCAGTTATCTATTAAAAAAATCACATTTTGTAATTCTATGACCAGTGGCATTTTAAAATTGAACTGTTTTGTTAGCACATTATTATTAATTTTTCAATGTATCTTGTACGTCATCATAGTGATTTGGCTAGTGAGGCTTCAAATGTTTCTGAACTCTAAAATAATACTTCTGCAATGGCTTATATTTTCTATGTATTTTATAGACTTGATCTTCTTTATCCTCTGCACTTTTTTTTTGGTAATGTTTCTCCATTTCTATGCACAAGGGTATTGTTACATTGCCACTACAATTATTAAATAGAAGTAAAGTCACAAAATCTTTCATTTTATCTATGCTAATTACGCAGACCTGTTCCAAATTCTTGAGTTAGAAAACATGCTTCCAAACTGTTAGAACAACAAACTGAATCTCAAACAAAATAACCAAAATTTATACTAGTCGATGCATGTGTTGTATCTGTAATGAAAGTTATGTGCTAAGATTATATCTTCTTGGTGACATTTTGTTTTTGTTGGACAAAATAAGCATCTTGTGATATTCAGAGTTTGTTGTTTATTCAGGCACATCTTCTGGGAACCAGATGCTAGTAAGCTGACTAAGAATTACTGTCGGAATCCTGATGATGACGCCCATGGTCCCTGGTGTTACACGGGGAATCCTCTCATTCCTTGGGATTACTGCCCTATTTCTCGTTGTAAGTACACTTAGTGATCTTTTTCAGGTGACATAGTTGCAGTATACTGCATCTCCTCTAAACTGATACCTTAATCAGAGGTGGCAATAATATAGAAGGGCTACAGCGGACCCCCAAATGAGGATGCACTCCAGAGAGCAACACACACACACACACACACACACACACACACACACACATACACACACACCCTTTTTCATTTTTCCTCTAGACAAGGAGACATTCCACTCACCATTTAAAGAAGATTTTCCTCCCTTAGATTCCCATCTGGAATCCAGAAACAATAAATGGCCATAGTTCTAATATGACTGCTCTAGCAAGACTTCTCCATGCCTCATCACCAAGCCTAGCTGCTCAGTCTCTGGATGTAGCAGAGCTCTCAGCAAAGGTCCCAGCCCATCAACTGACTGATGAACAGACCTGCAAGAGAGGTGCTTCCATCATCTTCCCTGTTGTTTAGCCAACTAGGAAGCCTAGAACATTCCATCCACTTCTCTGGCCCAAGGTTATTTTGTTAAAAGAGTATTAGTGCATAAATTAAAAGATATATAAAATATACATGTCTGATATTCTTCATATAAAAGAGCTCCTATATATCAATAAGAAAAATATGAGATAATTCAGGAGAAAAATGAAGAAAATGAGTCTTCAAGAATAAATATAATAATAAACAAATGAAAAGACATTAAAACTTAATCGTGACAAAAATGAAACTATAAAAGCATAAGAAATAATTTTCACCTATCAGGTTGGCAAATAAGAAAATGATTGTTAATGCCCAATATTAGTGAGAGCCTGGGTAATCAATACTGTGTTACTGTGTAAAATGGTAACCCTGTCTGGAAGTAGATTGGGGAAATGTATCAGTATTTTTCTACTTCAGCATTACCAACGTTTTGTGCTAGATAAATCTTGTGGAAGGCTGTCCTGTGCATTATAAGACTTTCAGTAGTGTCCCTGGCTTCTTCCTACTAGATGTCAATAGCACCACCGTTACTCCAGTCATGACAATCAAAAACAGAAGTTGCCAAATGTCCCCTTGGAGTGGGCAAAATAACCCCCATTGAGATCCACTGATGTAGAGCAATAGATATTCAGATGGGAATATATCCTCAATACGTTATTGAGTGAAAAAGCCTTATTATACAGCTGTGTCAGTAGCATGGATTAATTGTATTATGCTATATATCTCATAGCTCTAAGTTATAGCAAGCGTCTTTAAATACTATGTGAAACTACCTTCTTGTTTAAAAAGGACACACTTTTATAAGTTCAGTAAGAGTGTATTTTAAGAATGTTTTTCTTGTGAGACAAAGCCAGGAGCAAGTACCTTGAAAACAGCAGCAAAAATACCCACTCTAAATATTAGAGATTAGATTGAAGAAATGGTGTTTGCTTTAAAACATGAAATACAAATACAGGTCTATAGTTTTCCCATGCATGTCAAATTAATGAGATAATTTCTCACCTTAAATGAAAACACTAGTCATGTTTCATGATATTTAACATAAAAAGGAAAACTTCTTAAATATAATGTTAATCAAGTATATTTATAATTAAGACTTGAAACTTCCCAAACTGTTTTTAATAAAGAAATTACCTGTAATAATAAATAAACATTTTATGTTTGCAAAGAAATACTATTTCATATTATTATATTTTATTTCATCAACTATAATCCTAGTATTTCAAATTAATGTTCTAATGAAGATGTCTTTCAAGTTTTAACACTGAAACAAATAAGCAAACAAATCTACATCTCTGGTACACAAACTTTTTTAAAAAAATGGTTACAGGATTATTTTTTTCAGAATATTAGCTTTACCTCAAGTACATTTTCATGAAGTTCCTATGGTTAAAAATAATAGAGGCTAATAGGATATCCATTGATCTAAGAAGAAGGAAAAAAAAATCAATGATCTGGCTTTTATAACAGGTTCTAATGCTTTCCCTACAGAATTCCAGATTTATAAAAATCACAGTAGCTTAATTTTAGCCATAGAGTAAAATGTTCCTGTAGAATCTCGAAACTGTGCTTTAGATTATAAACCTAACTGATACAGGACTGTAATAATTTTAAAGTTTTCAAGTATTTTCAACTAGCATTTTAAAACTAAAAGTTGCAATGTGCAGTTGAAAGACGTCAAGGTGTTCCTAGTGTTTGATTAAGTGCTATTGCAGATAACTCATTTTTATTTCAATGTATTCTGAACATTAATTTCAATAAATATTTTTACACTGTCATTTTTCTAACTAACATTTATAACTAGGCTTTATTTACATTTTCCCACTGGTGAAAGCTTAATAACATTTATCTTTGGAAGATCTGAGTTCTTATTTATTTAACTGCAGAGACTGTGTAAGTCATTTTTGCACTATACATGAGTAATACAAAACATGTAAGGGTTTTTATTCCTTTTTAATAATGCATATAAAATAATATTTAACATATATTTTAAGATTACCAAATACATAAAAATAAAACTGTAGAAATACCTATACATTCGTCTGTGCCCATACACACTCAATATATCTTGGAAAAATCTTAAGTTCTAACTACTGAGATTATAGCAGTGAAGAGCTTCGACTCTGTTTTCCTGGTTATGAATTAGCTCTATCACTATAAGTACTTTGGGCAAGTAATATCCATCTATTTGTATTTATTTACTTATTTATTTATTCATTCATTCATTTATTAACAATTTGAAATTAAGCTACTATTGTATGCAAAACCCTATATAACATGTTAGTTATAAAACAATATAAACAATATTTCTTACCTTCAAATTATTTTCAGTGTAGAAAGAAGACATTTATGTAAATAATTACAAATATAATCATTCAAGAAATACATATTAACGTTAAAATATATAATGAGGATTGGAACATAGATATCTGCCTGGAAAAATATGTGATGTTCGTAAAGCTTTAAACCCAAATCAGAAATTTGAAAATATATTAAAATATTTCATTTGTGTTCAGCAAGAGTTCATATTTGATTCTGAGGACATAAACACACACACACACACACACACAGACACACACACACACACAAACCCTTCCATAGGTATAAATTTTATCATTGACCTATTTTCCTTCTTTAAATTAAAGTTCAATCAATTCAAAATAAGATTTGCATTATACATAGTTTTTCAGATTGAGTGCTGTGGTAGAGTTAGTGGTGGAAAAATAAAAGAGGAAAAGTAAGAATAGTATTTGATGGTAAAATGGAAAATGCCTAGAGAGCAGTTTTTTAAGGTTTTGCTCAAAGTGTGCAGCAGGAGTACCTGGAATGCGTTTGAAAAATTCATAATTTAGCCTTCAACCCAGAATCTCCAGAAATCTGATTATAGTAGTATTTCAGTTTATTCTAAAGTGTGAGAAATATTGGCTCAGAGAAAACTATATATAGTCTCAAATATTAATAATAATATAATATTAATTATTAAAGCCCACAATTTACAATACCTACACTTTTTTTTTTTTTTTGCTGAGCCATCCTGCCACCTGTTGGCAGTTCAGCGGCAGCTCAGCTCGGGCCAGGACTCGAACCGCTGTTGCTCAGAGCTCGCACTCTTGAGCAAGCTCTTAACCAACTGAGCCACTCGGCTGGCCCTAATCCCTACACATTTTTAAAAGTTAAATATTTTAGTAATATACAATGGTGAACTAAATACTTTGTTACAGAAAGCTTGATATGCAATTAAGGATATAATAGTCTACAGTCTTTCTCATAAGGATGATATAAGGAATAAAGGTTTTTTATTTTAGAATTTTCAAGTACTTAACTTGAGTGAGAAAACCAATATCCTTGATGTTTTAATGACCCATATTCGGCCTCGATCCATATTTGTACTATAAACTAAAACACTGACCTAAGCTGACTCTAAGAAAAAACCCTCCTCCAGGATAAACCAAAGGGAAAGAGAAATTATGAAATTTATGTTTGCCTTTACCCTTATTTATTTAAAATGCCTAGATCTGGTAAATGAACTCAAGTGAAAACTCTTTAGCATGTATTAATTCTTTGGAGATTCCCCATAAAGAGCAATTAAATTTGCATCTATTACAAAGGAATCCATATGCCATTATTGTTTTGTTGCCGGTTTATCTGAGCTCAGGGCATTTCCAGGGATTAACAACCAGCTGGGTCTAAACAGTGCCTGACTAAATCCGTGCCATCAATTCTGAACAGTTAGATATTAAACTCCAGGAAATGTCTTGTGCCTCATTTGTTACTGTGTAAGTATTTTCAAATCCTAGAATCTTCCAAGTGTCTCCTTGTAGCAATTAAGCCCCAGTAGGGAGGTTATGAAAAAGGAGTAAGTTATGTGGTTTTAGTCAGAATTAATTTCCAGTTTCTATTGTTCTCTTTTTTCCATACTCCTTTTTTTTTTTTTTTTACTGCCATCTGGAAAAACCAATCTTTGAAATATTCTAACAAAACAAAATTATATTCTGTTATCCCTCTTTTTCCAATGATGATGTTGATTTCTAGCTTCTGGAATCTTTGAAGTTTTCTGAAGCCTATGAAGTTTCAATTATACTCAACCATATATTTAAAAAAGTAGTTTTCAGAAAAAATATAAATGGGCCAAATTACGGTAAAAAAACCATAGTCTATCTATATGAATGGCACAAAGCAAGCAGTAAAAAACATTAGTGCTATTCAGTGAAATGTTTCTGGTGTACACTGTTGGGCATCTTGGTAGAATGAGGCAGCTGCTCGATGCCACTGGAGTCTCCACAGTCATAAAACAGGACTTTCCTCACAGAACAACCCAATACCAGTAAGCACATGTTTCAATATTGTCCAGTAAAAGTGATACGTAATTACTCAAAAGAGTACTACTACATTTTATCTTTGAATAAAATGTCAAGAATTGTAGTAAATTATCCTATTCATGGATATTTGGATTTTAATATGTAACTTTGGTTCTATATAACAGAAATATGTATCTATGGATTATGACTATATGTATCTACTTATTTTTACAGGTGAAGGTGATACCACACCTACAATAGTCAATTTAGACCGTAAGTAATATTTCAAAATAAAGAGCATATTTGAGTCCTCTACTGTCAAAAATGATGTCATTATTTTCTTCATAGAAAAATATATCACTATATTAACTTCCATCATAAAAATAAGTTTATTTTTATTTACTTTTTTTCTATGTGCATATGTAATGGGGTTACACAAGCAACAGTATAATAAATATCAAAATTCAATTCTCTATGTTATATTTAACTTTGAGAAAGCATTTATATTGCTTTTAATTTGAGGCAAAATGTATACCTGGACCTTCATTATCCTTTAAATTAAACAAAGATGCAAAAGTCAGAATGAAACCTGAAGGTTGGAAAGTTATGCAGTGTCTCTATCCTCCTCTGTCTTTAAAGCTCTTTGTATGCTCTACTAGGCACAAGCTGACACAATCTGAGAGGCTCAGTTAATCCTGCATGTAAGAAAATCTGTTGAGAGTTGCATGTTTTTAACTTTTACATATTTCTTGGGCTAAAGGAAGTTATTCAAACGTTTTCATTTAAAAGACCATCTGCTTTGTCCCAAGCTGAAGAAATTATTGGAAATCTATTTTAGACCATGGACAGGTAGAAAGGATAAGGCAAGAGACACAGCGGAGGGTCAGGAAAAGTTTACTTGAAATTACTTGTGTCACTTGGATATAATGATTTGGACATAATAATGTCATTTGGATATAGTTCCAATAAGTATATTGCTGGTAACCTGTTTCAAAATGGCTCTGCAGTTTTACTTTACAATTTCAGAAGTAATAAGCCAAATATAGTTTTTTTTTCACTCAAGCTATTCATTTCCATTGACATTTAGAAATAACCACTATAGATAGCAGTGTTTTATTCTACGTTGAGGTTGGTGAGGGAAATACAATTAGCATTAGACCTGAAGAACTTGTACCTAGTGCTGGGTGATCAAAGCCACTGTCAGTTTCATGGACACTGTTGACCTTGAGCTGATCAATTTTTCTGTGTTACTCGTCTACCTAGATAAGAATAGCAAACATTTTGGGCATGATTTGGCTCCATAGTCATAACACTTACTTCCCCCCACCCCCCACAAATGTTCTACTGACACAATTACAGTAGTTACATTTGTCTAGTTACCATTGCATTTAAGAAAGCCAAGATGCAGAGTATTTCAAAATGTTTTGTCAAAATGTTATGTTTGGTCCTCTTTTTAGATCCTGTAATATCTTGTGCCAAAACAAAACAATTGCGAGTTGTAAATGGAATTCCAACACGAACAAATGTAGGATGGATGGTTAGTTTGAAATACAGGTAATTATTCATATACACAAATCATATGTATTTGGCTTATTTGCAAAAGGCGTATTCCCAGCAATATGGCCATACGTGGTCAGGGTAAGTTGTGCCCTCCCCATGGGCACCCATATGAGACAGGCACAGGAGGGGGCTGATGACATTCTGCTTGCTAACTAGTCCTACGTTTCGCAATGTGTGCCTCCAGAGATAGTGACTTTTGAAATATTCACAAAGATCCCATGTGTGTTGGCTTTGTTTCACGAGTGACACCAGTTCTGATTAAGCAAAAGACAACTACTCAGACAATTTACTTATATTCTGATATTACCATACTAGTTATAATGCATATGTTGTAAATTTCTCAAACTAGGATATTTTTACTTTATTTTCTATCATGCCTATGCATGATCTTATCACAAATTTTGTATTTGTTTATAGTTTTCAACTTTTTTCATTGTCATACTAATTAAACAGAAATAATTTAAATTCTAGAATATGTTATCATTAAGAAAAATATTCACAAACAATACTTATGGTTGCATAGACTTTCTATTATAATATTCAGTATGGATAAAAAAAATCTTGACACTCTATTTCTCAGTGCTCTTAAGATTCAATGACATGTCCTGTGTAAAATCATGGCCAAACATACTGTTATACAAAAATTAAGCTTAGTCATTTTGTTATAAGAATGAAATATTTAAAATGGGAGTTAACGTAAAATCTGATCTTAAAATTTTCTATATACTACATATATTACACCATATGGTAATCAGAATGTTAAAATATCGTTTTCAATATTTAACTCTAGCGGAACCTCATCATGCGACAGCCCCATAATGCACCTGAATTCTAGCCACATTTTCCCTTGTTTTCAAGACACCCTATTTTGCTTCCTACGAGGCTTTGTGCTATTGTTCCCACTGCATGTTGTAGCTTTCTCCATATTTTTTACCTGGAAAATCCTTCTCATTCTTTAACTACCAAGCTCAAATAGCTCCTGTTTAGGGAAACTCTCCCTGTTCCTTTACCTCTAGCCTCCTAGAGTAAAGGAAGAAAATCTGTATTTTACTCCAATTAAATCACAGTGATATTAAAGTAGAATAGAGACAACTTGAGCCTGAATTTCTTTTATGAATAAGCCAATTCTTAGCAAACGTAGAATTATATTCATTGTATACCCCAAATAGAAGATGGCCTAAAGTTCTCCTTTAGTATGTCTTTTGAAGAGTAGATCATCAAATTTTATAAATATGTATGTTGATAAGTGTAGTGTAGCTCTCCTAGGTGTGTAGTACTGAAATAGAATTTTGAAACTCGCCAGAATATTAAAGCTCGTGGTACAATATGAAGATTTAATGAAGACTGTAAAATTTGGGAGGAGTGTCTCATTTTCTTTATTACAGAAAATGGTTTAAGAATCCACATCTCTGAACTAATTAGTGATTCTTTGCAAATCTCATAACTAGGAAAACAAGAGGCATGCATGTCTAAATTTATTATTAACAATAGGAGATTATACAAGGATACCCCTTTGAAAGTCTCCATGAAGAAGCAGGTGAAACTATTTTTCATTAGCTCAGACTACTAAAAACTTTGAGAAAAAAATAGTTTCCTTTTAAATCCAAGTTCTTAGTAACAACAGCTGTTTGGTTATCCTTCCAAAACACATACTGAGAGGAATAGAAATTAAAACTCCATATATACTCTTATCCTCCTGTGTGGTACAGGCCATAAAAAGTGGTCCTAGTCTGGGAATCTTCTTTTATTACTCTCCCAAGCAGTGAACATCTGTACTCATTGGAAATGTAAATTGTGAAAAGTTGTATTTTTTTCATATCTCTGCCAAAAATAATGGGTTTACAGATTTGGGATATCATCAAATAAATGTACTAGTGTTATTCTCTGCAAATATTTTATAATTTTCTAGATGATATGTCTTGCAAAATTGTTTTAATTTTATGAATGAAATAATATATTGCTGGTCTTAATCTGAACAAATTTACTCAAATTCAGTAATATTCTAAATTAACATATCAAAACTAAATAATGGTAATGAAAGAAAGAGGTAGTGTGCAAATTTTATGTATTGCTACCACATGTTTTTTAGGGTTTAAATAAAAACTCAAATTTGCATTTTTCATAATCAAACACTGAATTCAAAATAAGTCTACATTGTTTTTGTTTGTGTTCATTCTAATTATCGTATATTTGTGGCACATACTTTCTCTCACAATGAATGGATTGTGGAGTGTAATGACAGTTCCTTTCACAAAAACAGAGTTGATTTCATAAAATTGTTTAATCACATTATGAAGAAAAGTGCTAATAACTATAATTACCAAATAGCTTTCTGATATAAAGATTACTCCTTTTTATTCTAGTTGGGTTAATTTCTACATTTTTCTCTCAGTTGCATTTATTTTTAACAAATGTTGCCATAGGTTTTGCATTAATTGGCAGGCAACCTTCCTGCACAGATGTTACTCGTTTCTCTTTCCTCTTTCTCATAGAAATAAACATATCTGTGGAGGATCATTGATAAAGGAGAGTTGGATTCTAACCGCAAGACAGTGTTTCCCTTCTCGGTAAAGTGTTTCTGAAATCAATTATTTGTTTTGAGCATTTAAAAATATGTATGGCTTTCACTTAGCTTTTAGACTTAGCATGTGTATTCATTTAACAGACTTTCACAAGCATGGGGTGAACTAATTATTATTTGTTTTTTAGATTTAGCTAATAAAACGTTCTTTGATTTCATTAATATTTACCTACTGGGTAATCCTTTCCACAATTGGCATTACTCTCAATTTGGGGAAAAATTTGCTAGAATCATGTACATAATTTTTACCCCAGCTGCCTCCTACTGGCACTCTACATTTACAGATGAAAATTATTTTTCTAAATTATCAGAAAATGTCTCTCAATCCTCACTTCTACTTTCTTATGTCAGGCCAGCCTCTGAATCATCCTGGGAATAATTTTCAAAGAAAATTAGCCTAAGGAAAAGATATGGAGGCAACGTTTGTAAGCTTATTTGCTGCTTCTCATCAAGGTTACACTGGTTTTGTTAGTATAGATCTGCAACAACCATTAAGACACCAAACATACACAGCTGAGATAAAAAGGATAATTTGCAGTAATATTATAATTCGTGTGATGTGGTTTACCTGAAAAATGTTCACAAATAACTTACTCTCTAGCCACCATCTCTAGCACAAAAAATCAAAAATTTTTTGAAATAGCCATTTACATTTTCAGCAATTCCAACCTAGGTTCTTCCTACCTATACGTGCTTGTAGCAGTCAGAATTTCGCCTAACAAACATGTTGCTCTTTATTATACTTTGAATCAAATCCTAAATTTAGGTAATTTATCTGTCCGCATAAGCTAAAATAACAATATATGGGAATAATATTATACAATCTAAAATTACATATTACACTTTGATTTTTTACTTAGAAACAAAGACTTGAAAGATTACGAAGCTTGGCTTGGGGTTCATGATGTCCATGGAAGAGGAGATGAGAAACGCAAACAGGTTCTGAATGTTTCCCAGCTGGTATATGGGCCTGAAGGATCAGATCTGGTGCTGCTGAAGCTTGCTAGGTTAGTTCCTTTAAAGGTTTTGTGTTTTAACCCGAGACTGAAACTGTTGAAGCTTTTTTTTCAGCTATGTGGCTATTCTTTCTCCCTCATGCGGATTTATTATAAGAGCATATGTCACATGTCATATATAAATATATATATATATATATATATATATATATATATATATTTCAAAATTTTTAAAAAATGAAAAAACGAAGTTGGATCAACAGTCTAATCAGCCTGCTCTAAAACCAAAGCTTACTGAGCAGTAATTATATGTTAACTTGAACAGGTAAAATAATGATTAAAAAAATACCAGTGACCATTTATTCTTAAATATCAGCAAATAACTCATTTCTCTACAACCTACTGTAGATTTCTACATTATATATTAGGCATTTTCTTTTTCTTCTTTCTCTTTTAAGACACATAATCGTTTTCTCTAAATGCCATTAAATATTTGCACTGCATTTTAATATATTAATTTTGTGTTGAATCCAGTCAGAGTACTACCACCATATTTTCTCTTTTCAGACCTGCTGTCCTGGATGATTTTGTTAGTACAATTGATTTACCTAATTATGGATGCACAATTCCTGAAAAAACTACCTGCAGTATTTATGGATGGGGCTACACTGGATGTAAGCTATTTTTTAAAAGATAAGGCAATATCATATTTATTTTACTTTATAAAAAATATTTGTTTCTTATTTTTGTCATCTTATCCTGTGCTCATTAACTGTACATTTTTTGCACTAATCTAGTGATCAACTCTAATGGTCTATTACGAGTAGCACACCTCTCCATTATGGGGAATGAGAAATGCAGCCAATATCATCAAGGGAAGGTGACGCTGAATGAGTCTGAAATATGCGCTGGATCTGAAAATATTGTAACAGGACCATGCGAGGTAAAAAGGGAGTTTTTTAAAAATGAGTATGTGATGAATAGTACAGTTTCTCATGTTCATTTTGTCTATTTTTCTCAAAAATCATTGTACACCAACATGTTCTAAGAGGAACTGGGAAAAAATAACCCTGTATTATTCTTGTATATTCCTTTTAACTGAACAGTGAGACAATCTATGTTTCATTAGCAGCAAACTGTGATGACATTCGTCTCTCAATGAAATAAAGGAAACTAATACAGTCAGAACTCTAAAGGAAAGCTGCTCTAGTGAGAATTATCCAATATAAATGTGATACAATAGCTTGCATTGTTCTAATGCTTTTTTAAATTTACATGATCTTCCCAAATTCTCCTTAAATAAACTATATTAATCATTTTATTAGAAAATACATACCTGGTTTTTTACTTTTAATTGTATATTTGGTGAAGCTAGTGTGTATGTGTGTGTTAACAAATTCTATTTAAAAAAAACCCGAAAGGTCAAAGTCTGTGACTATAAGAGCTTGGACACTGTCATTTGGAAGGCAACTGTTCTCTCGATTTGGCAGTGTTCCTATCCCTGTTTTACATAGACAAGCTGTTCAACTGTTATTTTAGATGTATTTTGAACATAAGAGACATGCTTTCTAAGCCAGGGAGTTGTGGAATTGTAGAATATTATATGTAGCAAAGCATAGAATGAGCTCAATAATAGTGAAATGTCTTTTCACATACAGGAAATGCCCTAAGAATGGAGCATAAATATGCACTGAAATACTTGTGTTATATGTAGATAGTATGCATACACAGACATAGATATGTATATCTGAGACTTATTCCTGAAAAGAAAAAAAAAGTTTACTGAGTTAAATATTTTTCTTAGGACTGCTTTAAAATGATATGGTTAGAAACAGATTATGTGTTTATAACAACCACTTTTAATTTGTTTTCCCCAGTAAGTCAGCATTACTGTATTCATTACAAGTGAAAATCTGCTAGGAGAAAGAATTTTTCCTTCCTTCCTTCCCTCCTTTTTTTCTTCCTTCCTTCCTTCCTTCCTTCCTTCCTCCTTCCCTCCCTCCCTTCCTTCTTCCCTCCTTCCTTACCCTAAGAGCCCTGTAAGCATGAAGTTCTGAGCTATTTGCTCTTAGAATAAACTGTTTTTTCTTACTGTTTTCATCTTCTACTTTACCCTTGCTTTGATTTTTTCCTTTCATAGAATATTGATAGCTCTCTTCTTTCCAATTGTATTACAGAACCAAATTTTTCAGTAGTTTAGTTTTATCTCAAGTCACGGTTGTGGGAAAATTAAGATAGTCCCAAACACCCTTCTTCATACAAGGATGGCAAAAGCCAGTCATCACAATTTTAGGATGCTACATGGTGCATGAAAGTGATGCAGCACATTTGTAATGATCATATACAATATGTATAAATATATATGTATATAAAATACACACACAAGTCAATCTATTCATCTTTCATCTATCACCTGTCTATCTCATGATACAACAGGGTTATTATACAAAAATTGCCATGAAATCATAGGCTGTCTTCCACAATGGGTGGTATAATTATAAATAAAACTATATTAACTACTAGTACAGTAAGTGTAGAAATATTCCATCTTTATGCCTGGAAAAGCAATTTCTAAACAATAAGTAGGATCATTTTATCAACTACAAGTTTTTATTTCACTTATTAAGATCATTTAAGGGGCAGGACTGGAGGAAGGAAAAAAAACATTTTAGAAATAAGAGACTGTTTAAGGCCATTTAGTCATTAAAACTGTATGATTATCTGTGAGGTTGTTATACTTTCAGTTTTCTACATTTTCCATATTTTCTATGTTGAACATATTTTGAACATCAGAAGAAAATCAAAATAAATATAAAATCTACCTTATTAAATAGCTATTAGTGGTTATGGGTTAGTATGCATTCAACAAAGGCAAAAACCACTTTGAAAGATGAGTGAATATTTTGGGAAATATGTCATTCATAAATAAATACTACACATAATAGAACAGTGAACTTTTGTACTTAACTCAGTCTTACTTAGCTAATTCAATAGAAAGGTAACCAATGGTCTAGTACATCAGTTTTATGTTGATGTATTTCAGCTGCAGTTATTCTCTTTTTCTGTATATCTGTACCTTGGAGATACAAATCTATATAGAAAATGTTGATGAATTATTAACTTTTTTTTTCTAACATAATACTCTTTTGCTATCGTTACATGTCTTTTCCCTAGGGTGATTATGGCGGCCCACTTGTTTGTGAACAACATAAAATGAGAATGGTTCTTGGTGTCATTGTTCCTGGTCGTGGATGTGCCATTCCAAATCGTCCTGGCATTTTTGTCCGAGTAGCATATTATGCAAAATGGATACACAAAATTATATTAACTTATAAGGTACCACAGTTATAGCTGATGTAACTGTGGCTGAAGCTTCCATCAAAACAACTCTTTTACCTGAAGATTCAGAGAACATGGAATTCAAACATCACATCAAACAATTCTAAGACAACTACTTGAGTGTCAAGTTTGTTAAGATACTCATTAATATTTATGGGTGTTTTATTTTGTTTTGTTTGTCAGTGTTACTTTGTAAATGTTGAAGTGACTTAAGGTACATGCAAGTGTAGTAACATATCTCCTGAAGATACTTGAATGGATTAAAAAATACAAAGGAATAATTGCTGGGTGATAAAAGATTTAATGGAAAAGATCAATTAATCTCTCTACGCTGCTTTCCAAAGTTAGTTTCTTAATAATGAATAAACCATAACTTAAACATTATTTTAGTCTCACAAAAACAATTTATACCTTGTTTCCTTAAAGTGTAACTCAATATTAAATTATATTACCATTTCATATGCCACACATTATATTTCATTTGTTTCTCCTTACTGTGTATCCTGTAATACTGGTACACCTACATTTTACAAGAACATGTACCCATATACACATGCCTGGGTACACATGTGCATGCACTGAAGTTCAAATTGTGGTGTATCTAACATAACCCTTAAATATTCCGAAAGTGTGTACTTATAGATTTTCCTTAAGAAAAAAAAATAGAAATTTCTAAAGACCAGTAGAAATATTAAGGAAAGGTGCAAGATATATATCCTCCATATATAATCTGCAGATTACCTCTACTGGTTGGCATTTAAGGTGTGTTCACGACCCACAAAGTTAAATAACGTCTAATCTAGGTGGTTACATATATTTCTCACCCTAGTTTTTGTAGTTTTTAATTCTTAAAAGCAAGAGGGTAATATGTATATTAGTATTATTTCTCTCCTCCAAATTTAGGGCTACTTTTTAATGCAAGATAGTTTTTGATCTATTTTTCTAATTTTTAAAAAAAATTCTTAGATAAATGTGTAATGGAAGTTTAAAATTGTTTTGGTCTTTAAAATGTACTTAAGAAAGTTAACTTTAAGACTTGCAGCTGTGACTGACTTCTAGCTTACCCTCCTTAATTTTAAAAAATTATTTCAGAGGAAATTTCCACATCCCCAAAGATTTGCAAACAGACCTTTATCAAATTATACATTAAAGTGTATATTGAAGACAAACATCACAATATTGTTTCAACCTAAAAGTCTTTTAGTCTAATAAAACTTTAATCAAGCAAAGAAAAAATGTAAAAGGAAAGGAAAGAAAATGACTTGTCTAAACTCTGTATTCAAATATTTTTTTTAAAAGTAGAGTTGAATCTGCTGAATGAGATACTTTAGCAAGATATTTCATCTTATCTTACTTCATTTTACATAGATCTTTCCTAGTGCCATGGGAAATATTCAAATTTTGTACTCTGTATGATCATTGCCAAATTATCATATTTATTATATTTTTGTATTTGTCATGATTAGCTAAAAATCATGTATTTGGCATGAAATAAGATCACAAAGAGTAATAGCATAGATTTCAAAATTTTAAAACATCTTCCTGTACAAAAAAATCTTCAAAAATAATTATTTGAATGATTCAAATCCAGTATTCCCATTTCTCTCTTGTTTCTCTTGAATGATCTCTATTAAAGCCAGGGATTTTATTAAAGGGTAAAAACACCACCACCAATAAACCATCAGACATGGTATATAAAGCAGTTCTCTCTTTGGAAAGTTTGTAATAGACAGAGATGGGTGGAATTGACAATGAACACAAGATGAACAAAATCCATAGGATTTTACATGGTAGGACAGGGTATAAATCATGTCTTTTTCTCTGGTGAAAGATACTATTTCCTGGGCATTCTTTTCTTAATAAACTACAAAACAATGAAAAATCCAAATTATCCAAAAATCATTTCATTTTGAGTCATGGACAAAAGGATCTTTTAAATTAGAAGTTTTCAATGCTACTTTTGTTTCGGCTGTTTGAATAATGGTTATATGCCGTTATAATTGTGGACATTTTCTTATGTCTACCAGGAATAGTAATGTAAATTTAAAGTATTTGTCATAATGCCTCTGCTGTGCAGAAGGAATAATAATCCTTTTGTATACTTCTTTAATTTTATTGTAAAATATGTAATGTCTTTTACCTATTTGCTGTGGGCAGGTCCTCGGTAAAATGGTTTATATTGAATCAATCTCTAGTATTAACAGGCTCTGGCTTGCTATCTAAGTGTTTCAAACTATGGGAAATGAGAGACACTGGAAGGCAAGAAAAATAACAATAATGGTATATGATAGCAAAGTTGTATTTCACTTATTCCTGTGAATATTTCTTGTTGGTACCAATGGTACTATACAAAGTGAATGTTATAGCCACAACATTCTCTTGAAAAAAAAACCCAAAACACTGTCAAGAAGTGAAAAATTGCTGTCAACCATGTTTCTTATTGTGTCAAATATTTCTTTTTTTTAAAGAAATACTGGTTTTGCAATAGAGAGATCATGAGGTAAATAATTTTAATAAGATCTCATACTAAAAAATTTAAATGGATATACTGAGGTTAAAAATTGATTATTTTCAAACAATTATATTCCATATATGTAGATAAACTCATTTGAAATATAAAATTAATTTGAATAAAAAGACAATCTTTGTGTGAATAAATTACTTTTCACAATAAAGTTCAAAAATGAGTGACCTTTCAACATTCAACTGAGTTTTGAACTAAGAATTTACTAATTAAAAAAATGTTAAAATTTTTTGGACCTTATAAATCTCGACAGTGTAATTTTAAGTAAGTTCATTTCCATTTGCACAGAAAGTTTCTGTCTTTAGGAAACTGAAAATGGAATACTGTGGATGTTATGACTATTTGTGTTGTGTGTAAATAGGAAATTGATAAGCTGCCTATTGAGTGGTATAGCAGGATGCTTACCCAAAAAGGGAACACTGTGGTTATGACTTGTATATAAAGATTCTGTAGTTAATAAAGTTGTTATTTTTATAACCATGATTATATTATTATTATTCTTAATAAAACATTTTTATCAAAATGCTCCCCTTCTCTTATTATAATTATATATGTGGACATGTTTGAATCTTCTCTAGGGTTTAATTCAGAAAACAATAGTGAGAATAATCTTATAACAGAAATAGCATATGCTTTGTTGCAAGATATGTCTTATAACCTGTGCATACACCTAAGACAAAAAATATTTTATTCCATCATCCATCCATGGCAATATCAGTTGTCTTCAGTAAACCATTAATCTCTATGTGCTATAATTTCTCTCACTGTGAAATATAATTATTTAGTCATTCTTCATGTTTGCTAGAATGGTGTTTTGATGTATCGAGTTGTAGGAAAAGTCATGACGCATTTTTGCAACGAAAAGCAGAAATGGGGCAGGCCGAGTGGCTCGTTGGTTGAGTTGGCTTGGGAGCACGAGTTCTGAGCAGCAGGGCTGCAGGTTCGGTTCCCACATGGGCCAATAACCCTGCGACCTCTACAGCTAAGATAGTGAACAACAGCTCGACCTGGAGCTGGGCTGCTGTGAGGCCGGCAACAGTGTAGGTTGCAGTGGAGTTGAAGGGGGCTGCCATAAGCTACCCAGAATGGCCGATAGCCTGCTAGAGCTGCCAAGAGCCTCCATGAGTGGCCGTCCAATGGCCGGCGACCAACCTGCCTCAGTTGGGAAGAGCACAATGATTATAATACCAACATGGGCCAGTGAAGCAACATCCTCCACAACTAGACTGAAGAACAAAAGGACAGCAACTTGTCTGTTCCCCTTCCCCAATTCTCCAACTCTGTTGCCTCCTCCAATTCCCCAATAAAAATCTTAAAAAAAAAAAAGAAAAACAGAAAAAAAGTCATGACTTTTCCAATAACCCAATAATTTGCTGATATATACAAAATATTGTCATGAATGATCACCTAAATGTCTTTACCATATCATTATATATTACAAAGGTAATTATAAATGGTTCAGTTAATCAATTTGGATTATATCTTCAAAATGTGCATTAAACTCAGGATAAATATAAATGAAATAGACTCATTTAATCAAATCAGAAGCAAGATTGGATAAATTAATTATCAATTGAACAAATAAACAGAGCTCTGTAACACCACTGATTATTTCAAGTTATGTTATGCTTCCTCTTCCCCAGGAGGTTGCTCTACTGATTTTTCTGGCATAGATACTTACCTCAAGTGATGATTAATTTATCTAATTATAGAGTCCATGATAAAATATCTGATCTTAATTATTATGATCCAAGCAGAATATATGCATTTATTAATTTCTGGTGTCAGAGTATATCAACAGTCAAAAATATTGTTCGTTTCTCAAACATTTGATTTTTTCCCTCTCTTTTCTAGAACCTCATTCCATTCTAAACTTATATTGTGCTATTTTAAGTAGAATAGCCCAGGAAAGCTTCTTTAACAGGTGGCATTTGAGTAGGGTTCTCAATGAAATGAGAGAGCAAGCAGTGTATACATCTGGGGTCTGACATATAAAACTCGGACAATATTTTAGTTATTTTCTTAATGCATTTTATTTATTTACTCTTACAAATCGTAATGCTTTAATTAGTCCCCATTTGTCAGTGTCCTGAATAAAATCACCTCAGTTTGCATTTCCCTAGTGTTTTAGTACAGCATTTTTATCATCATTCCATTTCATTATTTTTCTACACAAGCACCATCCTTAATTCATACAGTCCTAAAAGTACTTTCTGTCATTTCACCAAATTACAACCCTGTCATGTAAAATTCAGATTAAATATATTATTCTAGGCAGTCTCTATTTTTCCTTTGCCCCTTACATTTACAAATATCCCCATTGCTTGTGTTATTTAGGAAAGGTGAAATTTAAGAGTAACTTCAAGATAAAAATAATATTGGTAGTAATTTGGACAACGTTTACAGTACTATGAAGCATATGTTATTGCCTAAACACATCTGCGTGAGACAGCAAATACTGGGCAAAAGAGAGACGCTTTTACTTTATATAATTCAAAAGACTTGTGATATGACACATTATTTATATGTATATTTATACGTTAGAAAAGTAAACCTCAAACAAAACCAATCAATCTGACATTATCTTACTCCAGACTGACTTTGGACCCTTATCTCTCCCAAATAATCTTGAACACTCACCACTTTCTTTTCATCACTTTGACCATGACTTCACATTGAAATCCATGCCTGCATTCAAACAGTCCCTGACAACATGAGGCTTTTCTCTAACTCCTGAAAACCTTCAAATGTCATGTACTGTCCCTTGTGAATCTTTCCTTAGTTTCCTTATCTAGAAATCATCACTTCCTCAGCTTACTGCTGGGTTTGCTGGAGCTTCCTTTTCACTTGTTATAATAGTCCACCTATGACTGCATGAGATTTGTTTTATTTTGTTTTGCTTGGTATTTAATGTGCAGTCCACCTCCACCCAGTTTGAGCTTCTGGAGACGTCATCAATGTCTTGCTATTAATATTTATATAGTCTTTATTTTGCTCAGTGCTTTTCATATAATGATACCCTATATATTTTATAATTATTAACATTTTAAAATTCATCTTTTTGAAGGTTTATCAGTATAAACCAGAGACTTGTAATTTTCGTAAAAATTGTGCAACTCTCATTGAGTGTTACGAATTTTAGGATTTTGTATTTGAATCTATTTTTCAAATACAAATCCAATAGTATTTTGCATTTCAAATACAAATAGTGAGACTATTTTTAAGTGGTTTCTTGTCACTAAAGCACACAGTTGGAAAAGAGAGAAATTATTAACTTTAAAGGATTTATACATTTATATTTGGAAATGTGGTTATTAAAAATAAAAACGGAAAACTAGATTTTAGTTTGTTAATGGATACAAATGTTGTTTACTTCATATAAACTAATACAGTTTAGATTATGTTGGTGAACATTTCCCATCTGAGTTTCTTGCATGAAGTGCTTATGTCATAACACTAAAGGGAAAAGCATCCTATCAATTATTGCAAAAATATTATGAGTCAACAATAGTCCACTCATTGCTTATGTGCAAATATGCCATCTTCTGTGAATTGAGAAGTTTCACAATATTGTTACTCAATTAGCAAGATGTTTTCATTTGATGAGTTTTCTTAACTGGGAGAAACCAACTTGGGTAACATGTTGCAATGAAATGAAGTGAAGAAAAGGCAGATGGATTTTTATATTATTTTCTTCATATATTTTTAAAGCTTTACAAAGATACTGTCCAGTTTTCAGACCTCTGATATTTAGGTGGCTAAAATCCAAGTGCACTAATAGTTTACAATATAGTACTATCCCCTAAAACAAAGACTTTAAATCCTATAAAATGAAAATAATGAATAATTTAATAAATGAGAAATTGACACTGTGGAATGATAAAAGTGATTAAAGATCTTTAGAGACGAGAAGGTGCATGTATGATTTAATATCTTTCTTGGGCTATTGCAAGAGTCATTATAAGAGGAAATCCTCAGATTCTTCTGGTTAAAAAGTAAAAATTTGGGAAAAATAAGATTGATATTTGAGTTAGATCATTCAGATACCAGGTAGAACTTCATAATTTTGAAGGCTCCAGAATGCATAAATTAATAAGGAAACTCATGGACTGTCTTACTATGGACATTTCGTAAAATAGGAAATATTTCTTCAATGACTTAGGTAAGCTTTATCTGAAGTGGTCTCTTATGGTACACCATTTTGCAGGATACTTTAAAGCTGTGCTGAGAAGGACAAAATATTCAGGTCTTGAATAAGTTTTAAATATGTTGAGGTGCTTTGCATAGGTCACTTTGCTACATAATTGTCAAGGACCTTGGATGTTCATGAGTATTTTGATGTTCCTTGAGGGAGCATAGTATGACATATTCTAACAATTTACTGTACAGAACCCCCTTAAAATTATGGAGACAATATTTACACCTGGAGCATTAGAGTTCTGCTAAATGCAGTCACGGAAATTCTGATTTATGCATTTATTTTCTGAATCAGAGGCAGTAGTAACTACATAGTTGGACATTTCCATTGTCTTTTATGAGCTACAATATTTTTTATTCTCTACAAAAATATATTCCAGCAATCTTTTATTTGAAAAAATTTCCCATATCAATTTTTTGTTGTTGTTTTTACATGATTTATTTCTTCATACTCAATTTGAGTAAAACTTAGACACTTAAGAGGAGTTGAAGCATATTTTTCTTGATATATGTGTACCATCTGCTTGACCTCTCATAGCGCATCATTAATATAAAAGCAAAATTGTAACACAGAAATATAAAAGTGTACTATTTACCACCTAAAGATGGAGAAAAAAAAGACAGACTAAGTTGGGGTTTTTTATCCCCCATCTTACTAGCCTTCACAATATCCTTTCAATTACTGAAACTTCCAGCTTTGGAATGTTCATGGGGCAACTAAAGAAAAAAAGACAAGTAACGATTATTAAAAAAGAAAAGAAAAAGAAAGAAAGGAAGGAAGGAAGAAAAGAAGGAAGGAAGGAAGGAAGGAAGGAAGGAAGGAAGGAAGGAAGGAAGGAAGGAAAGAAGGAAGGAAGGAAGGAAGGAAGGAAAAGAAAAGAGGAAAAAGAAATAAAAACCTGAAGGAAAGCTGGAAAAAGTTTTCTGAAGGTGTTTACATGACCCCATTTCTAAAGTCAACAAAAAGATCTAAAGCAATATTCTTTATTAGCCTCTTTGCTTCTTAGTCACAACCATTTGTATTTCCCTAATCCATTTGTAAACACTAAACATAATGAATCATCCTAAAATCACCAAATAACAGAGTATGAGTATAGATTGCCTACATTCACAGTCAACGTCCCATTTTTATTTTTTCAACTTCTCCATTCTTTTTCTACTGGCTTCCTCCAACAATTACATCTTACCTGTGATGCAAAGTAAGAGGAAACAAATAGAGCTTTATATTTATGTTGCTTTCTAAATATTACAATGCTCTTCTCACATTCAAGGGCTTCATCATCTTTCTACTGCCAAGACTTACAGGTGAA